AAACATGCTTTCGTAAGAGAATCGCTGGCATGCATGCTTCCCCTGGCTCACAGGGACCTCATGCGTGGTGAACTCATCCTCTGCTTTGGAAGGCGCCTTTGCTAGAGGTCGCCGTTTGGCCTCAAAATACATCCCGGAATATCACACGATGGGGTATATTCCCAGGATGCCCCTGCTTTTCACGGTAAAGATTCCCAGACACGTGGCTCTGTCCCCCGTGTACATGTGCTATGGCGCCTTCTAGCACCAACTGCAGTTGTGGGGTGTGAAGAGGGAAGCGGGGACCAGGTCTGCATTTTCCGGGGTTTCCTGGGGTAGGTCTGCGTTGGGTCTTGTCGATCTGATGTCTCTGTGGGGAGCTTGAGGGCCTGTAAAGATCCGAGTTTTGGTCACTGTGTTAGACGTCCAGATGCACCTGCCCCACGGTGTGCCTTTTCCATAGTAGCTGTGTCAACATTAGGGCACCAGACCGGTGCTTGGCAAGACTTCGTTGGTGCAAAATGCTCCTGTGAAAGGTGAAAATATGAAGCCAGGGTGGCGGTTACACTGGGCCTCACTCCCGTGTCCCCTACTGAGTGGCCTTAAGCTACTCCTTTAACCTCCAGCTGCTTCCCTGTGCCTGCTGCTCTCTTTGTAAGGTTTTTCTCATGCAGATAAGTGAGATAATTGAATTGAAAGGAGGTTAAGAATGTGAAGACCCACAAAGATGGTGATGCTAGAATGATGCTGTCCCAGTCCCCTAAATGGACATAATACCCCCTCAGGAAGTGAATGGAGGGGGCTCCTGGCTGGACAGCGGCCCCCTTAAAGGCAGTTCTCACCTTTGACTTCTGTGCCCTCACTCACCCCGAGATTCTTCTCAGAAGAGAAGGAAGCCAGCAGTCAACTAAGCCCTCCGTCCCGACAGAGGGGCTGGGGCATGGACTTGCTAGCCAGAGTCCCTCAGAGCCCATCACCAGGGCTGGTGCCAGAGGGATGCATGACTTAGTTCCCTAGGTAATTGGCAAAATGTGAAGGAGCTCGTGAAAAGTAAGCCCTTTGCAGGGCCTGCTGCTCCCATGGCCTGGATGTGGGTCTGAATCGTGTGTGTTGTTCTTTTCACTGATGCTAAGTGCCAAGGTGATGTTTCACACCACTTCACTGCTCTGACATTGCAGAAAGTAAAGCTGTCAGATGGGCCTGTGGAAGCGAAAGAAGATTACACTAAGTTTAACACCACAGATCTGAAGACTGAGAAGGTATGTGTGACCAGGTGTTAGGGGCGCGTGCCCCTGAATCTGGGTGCATACGCTGCATGAGGACATCCAGGAATGGCTGCAGCTCAGCCGTGGGATTCTGCAGTTTAACCACCAAGAGTTACCACCTTGCCTTTCCGTGGCTTCCTAAGTGATTCAGAATTGTGCATGACAATGAAAATGTAAAGCAAGGAAACTTTTTGTGAACCAAAGAAAGGCAATATCCTTAGCAAGAGTGTGATGGTGTGGGCGGGAGGGAGGGAGCCTGCACATGGAAATTTTGGTGAACCCCACTGCCAGAAGCTTCCCAAAAATTATGTTGATGACAAAAGTCATTAATGACCCTGCTATTCAGCAGTCACCCCAGGCAAAAACTTCTGTGACATTTCTCACTAAATTTTATCTTATACATGCATTGTCAATACATACACAGCTTTTAAAATTGGTGGGAGTTTTGCCCTTTTCATTTAGCACTATTCTCTGAAAATGTTCACATATCATTAGCATTCTTTGAAAAATTATTAATGGTTTCATGATACTCAATTGTGTGTTATTTTACCATGTGGAATATAATATATTTAATCATTCCCCTATGGACACATAGGTTATTTCTGCCTTTTTTTATTTTTTGTTTTAACGAAGTGATAAATATTTTTATTTATAGTCTGTATTTCTGATTATTTCATTAGACACAATTTAGAACAAAGAGTCAGGACTTAGAAACCACAAGCTCTTCCCATGATTATTGAGATATATATATGAAATGCTTTCTAAAAGTGTAGAAAGTTATACTTCCAGTCACTGTTGCTGATGTATATTCTCCTTACATTCTTGACATTATTTTTATTCTTGAAAACTTTTGCCTAACTAGACCTCGTTTCTTTAGCTACAAAAGTTGTTTTTCCAAATGCTTATCACCCATTAGCATTTTTGCAAATTGTCAGTTCACACCTCTTGCCTGTTTTTATATTGGGGTGGTTTTCTTGTTGATCCGTAAGAGCTCATTTTAGATTAAGGTTACGGACACTTTCACATAGGGGCATAGGGGGTACACATACTTTTGTAATTTGTTTTTAGGCCTTTTCACTTGGTTTTTTAAGTTTTAAGTTCTTTGAGGATTAAATATAAGAACTGCCTTTATGCTCTTTATGATTTTTATGATTTCTGTGCTTAGAAAAACTTTACCTATCCCCAAGTAAGTTAACTTCCAGTTAGATTTTTAACAACACATAACTCCCGAGAGTTTACTGTTTTTTATAAATGTCGTCATGACCCCGTGTGCCTGTTTATCTGAGCTCGGGTTGCCAGGAGATGGTCCAACCTGAGACGTGCTAACTAGCTGGTTATGTCGACGCTTGCTATTAGCCAGGATTCCCGTGTTCTCTCGGAGAAGTAGCTGCACCCACCTTTCTCACTGCCACTTGCTATCTCCCACCCACTGGGCAGCAGCGAGATAAGGGGCTGGGCCAGGGTGTCGGTTAAATGCAGGGGGTGACTTGCCTCAAAGAGACAGTTGTCGCCATCCGGGCAGAAAGTAAGCCTGTGAGTGACACGATGTGAGAATCAAGACCTGGGCACCTTTTCTTTGCCCTTGAGGGACATTCCATTTCTTGGATGCAGCAGTTTTGTCTCCTGCCTCTTTTAACATATTTTGTCTCTTAGGTCTGAATTCTGAGTAGAAATCAGAACTTTTAAGAATAATCACTCCCTTATGAAGCCCATTAGCAGCAAATGCTTACTTGCTTTAATGAACTTTGGGACACAGTCTTGCTTGATCTGCATCCATGATTTTAAGTGTTGCACTCTTAACAAATTTTCTCTTCTTTTCCTTGACAGAAAAATAGCAAAATGACAGCAGCACAGAAGGCTTTGGCTAAAGTTGACAAGAGGGGCATGAGAAGTATTGATTCTTTTTTTGGTGCAAAAAGTAAAAAAATTGGAAAGATGTGAAATTTTGAAAATGAAATCTAGAAAACTTATTTGCCTTTTATGTTCCTTCCTCATCCTTCCTCCACAACACTGGACTTCCTGACCCTGCAGGAACCCTGCGGGGTGGGGGGTGGAACAGGGCAATTTTCAGATTCACTTGACTATTTCTAGCATTTGTTTTTTGTTCCTGAACAAACTATGGGAAAGTAACTTTGTGACTTCATGGCTTGTGGCCTCTGGAATCTTGTTTGACATAATGAAAGATAACCAATTGCCTACAATTAACCTCAGCCTCACAACTTCCTCAGTAAACAGACATGACAATATTAGAGTGTGTGCCTATTGTGCTGCTTGGCCACATGGTGACTACAAAAATACAGTTTTTTAATACACTAAGAGAAATCAGAGAAAACTATCAGATGAGCTGCCACTTTTTAAAAACCTGTGGCTTCTTGTAAATCTTTTAAAGCTATTTAGAAAATAGAGAAAAGCATAAAACAAGAATTATGATCTCCCAACTTTTCAATACCCAAAGATATTATGGTGCATTTTCTTATGAAGATAATTTTTTAAAGGATCTAGAGTAGTAACTTTATGACCTTTTTCTTGACAATATCATTTTGCGAGTGTTTTTCTAGGCAACTGAAGTATTCTTTATGCTTTTATAATGACAATGACTTAATTGTTTGGATATTTGGCTATTTAATGACCATGACACTTCAAACCTTCCAGTGGCCACTCTAAGGATGGAGCCCCGCAGCCTGCGCCCCTGCCGTTGCAGACCCCCGGGTGTCCACACATGCTCTGGCCACCTGGTCTGTAGACCCGGAACGTTCTGCCAGCCCCTCCCTAGTGGCCGGAGCCCAGGGCCCTGAGCACCCACCTTCCCTGTCTGTCCTGGGAAAGCCTCCGGAGGCTCCCCACCTTCCGGGCCAGGGCAGATGACTGTGCCTGGGTCTGGCACGGAGACATGTCCACGTCCGTGGCTATAGGGTGACTGTCTGCCCCCCGTCATGGCTTCAGGAGGGCAGAGGCACTTCACCTCAGCGTCTGGGCACGGCTGCCACCACCGGCCTCAGACCCAGGTTGACTGCTGGTCAGTGTCTGGGGACTTGGCGGACAAGCACTCCTTACATGCTGTGAGCAGAGGGGCCCACCGCACCTGAACTGTTTGTGCACAACTTGTGGTTTAACAGCTTGCCATCTGGGGCTCTGGGAACTTAGGGTATTCTAGGCAGAGGCTGCTGCCGTGACCAGCACCCAGTAAACACCACAGGCCCGAGTCCAGTGGGCTTCCCTGGGGCAGAAGCATTGCATGCGTGTCGTCACAGCGCCGCTGCTGGGGTGCACGCTGGGCGCCTGTGCAGGGACAGCATGTAAGGAAGCCTACACATGATTTCTCCAGACGCCACCTGCGTCTTTTCCCCTATGATTCTGTGTGGCTGCAATAAATCCTAGCTGAATATGATACGCCAAGCCCCCTGAGTCCTGACAGCAAGCATCCAAACACGGGAGTGGACCCAGGACCTGGCCAGGATTTGACATTTAGCAAGTGGCTTAGTACCTGTTTTTTGAAATGAAAATGAAAATGGCCTCAGAAGGCTAGAGCTAAATCTACCCTGTGGAAATTCTCAAGAGATTAAGAAACATTATAACATCTATTATAGCCTAATGACCCAAATAAAAAATGTACAGATGTCCAAAAAAAATGATTCAGGAAAGCCCATGAGGATGTTTTTGTCACACAGATGAGCTTTCTGTGTCTGGATGTGGGGTCCTGGGAGTGATGGGGTGGGCTGGCCTTCTCTGTGCCACACATGGCTTCCCGGGCCTTACCGTACTGTCACTCCCACCGCGTGCTCACAGCGTCCACCAGTTCAGCCACTGAGAGTGATGCTCGGCCCAGGAGCAGTGATGCATCTCAGCTTTGCTGTACCCAGGCGGTCATCTGCAAACATAAAATAGTGGTGTGGGGCCTCAGTCCTAGAGGATTCAGCCCCAGTCAGATATAGCTGGTGTGAGGTGTCTGGGCACCTGGACTCCAGTGCACAGCCCCACTGCCCTGCGCTCCCCCTACCCCTCAACCTCCCCATCCAATGATCATATTTCACAGGGTCCAGGCTTCCCCTTGAGGCCAGTTGTTTCTTATTTTTGAAAGACTTCTTAAAATTTCTGTGCTCTGGTTTGCTGCAGCCAGTAGGCAGGCACACTGGTAAGAGGAACAAATGACACCTTTTATCTCAAAAGACAAGAAGGCAGGAGTGGCTAGGCCAGCAGGTAGGAGAACTCAAAACAGTAAAGGTCGGGGCGGGCGCGGGATGGATCACTCTTAACACCCTGAGTGTGGAACAAAGCATCTGTCCACGAGCATGTGGTTCTGAGCAATGACCAGAGACCACAGCTGCCCCCCCTTCGCTCTGCATAGGAGAGGAAGGTGGCTAATTTGGTCTTGGATATTTGGTAAGAGTACATTATCCCCGAGGAGGATGCATGTGCTCCAGCAAATGTACACCCTCCACGTGCCACCTTGTGACCTCTCTCTGGGGAAGACAGCAGACCGGCCATTAGCTGGCAGCTTTCCTTAGAGGCACCCAGCGTGGCTGCCGAGGAACCCAGGAGCAGTGGGCGGCTAGGTAAGGTGATCCAGATCTCGAGAGCCAGGCAGAGGGGTGTGGCTTTAAATGGGTGGAAATGGAGTCTCTCCAGCAGAACAGAAGAGCCATAAAAGGGGGGATACCAGGATTGCCTGCTATAGACCAGACGCCCTTGGAGAGGTGGGTCTGAGCAGGAACGGCCAGGATTTGGGCAGGTGTGACCTGAGGTGAGGCTCGGGGGACCAAGGGAATTAGCAGAGCAGGCACCTCCTGTGTGCCCCCCGCCCCGCTCAGAATGGGACCCC